AGGCTGGCCTGGCTGCAGACAAGATCCTTTTGGCCACGCCTGCGTGCCTGCCACAGAGAACCCCGTCTTTGGGGCCTGCACAGGGCATAGCCTGGCTTCCCCTCACTGCCTCTAGCCCTCACAGGTGGAGGGTGCCCCTCTGAGTTCTTGGTAGAAGTGAGTGAGAGGCCTATGATGATGGTGAAGAGAAGGGAGGGCTCTGAATAGCAATGTGAGGGAAGTCATAAGTGACGACCTTATTATTCATTCATTTATTTCTTAGGAGGGGTTCCTAACTGCTTTAAGGTTCAGGGTGGAGGAGAGAGAAGTTGAGGGAGTTTATGCCTGAGGGCCTTGGGTCATTTTTTCAGTGTCAGATAAGGACAAGCAGCTTCCTCAAGGTCACAAAGCACTGGTGCTGGGGAATGGGCAAAAAAGCAGTTGTCAGTTCTGGCTTTGCTAATACTCCTAAGCTGGTTACTCTGAGCAAGCTACTTAACATGAAGGATGCTCACTTTCTGCATCTGTAAATGGGGATTCTGGGGTGGTTATGAGAACAAAACCGCACTCTCTATAAATTCTGAGCAGATGTAGGCTCATAATGCCATTATTAACAACGATGGCATGATGCCAAACACTGGATTTCATCTTTCATAAGGACTCTCATTTGCTTCTCACAACCCTATCCTGGTTTTGGAGATACTAAATAACATTCCGAATGTCAGAGGATATATAAATTTTCTTTTCAACGTTTTCCGAAAAAAAGACCAGGGCCATATAAGTGCATTTAGTACTAGTAATAAAAGTATTATTAGTATCTTTGCCTAAGGGAATTCACTTTTCTTTTTTTAAAAAATAAATTTATTTATTTTTGGCTGCGTTGGGTCTTTGTGGCAGCGCGCGGGCTTCTAATTGCGGTGGCTTCTCTTGCTGCGGAGCACGGGCTCTAGGCACCCGGGCTTCAGTAGTTGTGGCATGTGGGCTCAGTAGTTGTGGCTCGCGGGCTCTAGAGCACAGGCTCAGCAGTTGTGGCGCAAGGGCTTAGGTGCTCCACAGCATGTGGGATCGTCCCGGACCAGGGCTCAAACCCATGTCGCCACACTGGCAGGCGATTCTTAACCACTGCACTGCCAGGGAAGTGACAGGCTCTTGTTTTAATGTCTTCCTCCTGGAGAAAATTCAAGCAGAGTGTGCAAGATATTTTCGGAAAGTAGGGTATTTTGGAAGCATTTCATAACCTTTCAGACGAGGGGAGAAAGGGGGAAGGGAGAGAGGGCGGCGGCTGCGCCTCATCCTTATCTGCAGTGGGAAAATGGTGATGCCCAAAGCCACCTGGCCTCCCAGAGCGGCATGGGCCCTGGACCCCGAGCGACCTTGGCGGGCGGCGCGACCTTGAGGCCTGCGTTTGCCTCAGTTGCCCCCTCTGCGCGATGGGAAGACGTCCTGGCCGCGGGCCCAAGCAGCTGCGTGTCTCTCGGGCTCCCACCGACCCAACCGGCCCAGCAGGGCGGTCTCCAAGCCCCGTCCCCAACCCGGTGGCCTATCCGCGACCCCACACCGCAGCGCGGAGACCGAGGCGGCGGGCGGGAACCTGCCTGCATCTGCCAGCGCGCACGCGCGTCTCCCGTCCCGCCTCTCCGGCGCCATCTCCACCCATAGGCCCAGGCACACCGTCACTTCGACTGACCCGCGGTCGCGATTGGCCAGAGATGAGGCGCGCGACCGGCCACGGGCGGGGCCTGAACCGGCTATAAAAGAGGCGGGCGGTGGGGCTCGTGCTGCTTTACAGACGCCGCCACATCGGAACTTCCCGCGCAGCTCAACCATGGTCAATCCTACCGTGTTCTTTGACATCGCCGTCGACGGCGAGCCCTTGGGCCGCGTCTCCTTCGAGGTTGGGGCGGGCGGCGGCGCGCCGGGTGGGCCTGAGCGGGCGGCGGGGTCCGGGAAGGCCGAGGGGCTGGGTGCGGGCGCCCCGCCTGAGGAACGCGGGCGGCGCGGCGCGGCGCCATTTCCTGACGAGGGGCCATTTTGGGAGGCCGGGGGCGGCGGGCAGACAAAGGCGGGGCGGGTGGGGGAGGCGCGGCCGCGCCCTTCCGGCCGCGCACGTGCTCGGGCCGCGAGCCGTTGGCCGGCGCGTGGGACCGCGGGGCCCTGAGGGGCGGCAACG